CTGCTCTCCATTCAGTGCCTAACACTTATAAAGCAAAATCTACATTTGCTGCTTTTATTTTCCCCTGCCCACTTAATCCTTAAGTCACTGCAAACTGTCCTCAGTCTCTGAACACTGCCCTCTCAAGATTCACAGATGACCTCCTCATTGTAATGGTCTCTTCTCAGTCCTTACACTACTTGACCTTCTTTTCTGCTACATTTGACACTGTTGATCACCCCCTCTCCGGGAGACTCTCCTTTGAGCAACCAGGATGGTAAAAGCCCTGGAGTCTTTTCCGAATGAGGATAAATGGAAAGAACTGGGAATATTAGCCTGAAGGAAGAGAAGACATGAGTGGAAGGGGGAATATGATATCTGTATCCAAGTAGTTGAAGGACTTGCTTTCATGGTGGAAGAGAAATTGGATTACTTATTTTTTTAGGCTACAGGGAGCAGAATCAGGTGCAGTGGGTGGGAGTTTCAAAGAGGCAAATTTAGGCTTCATATCAGGAAAAACATTTCTAACAATTGGAGCACTTGAAAGTGGAATGAGTCACCTCAGGAGGTAGAGGATTCCCTCTCATTGGAGGTCTTCATGCAGATGCTGAAGCACCACTTGTCAACAATGTTTTATTGGGTGGGTTAGCCTAGATGCCTGCTTGGGTCCCTTCCCCAACTCTAAAATTTTGATTCTGTGGTTCTTTTTCCTTTTCCTTCTCTCATTCCCTAAGTATGCACATCCCTCAAGGCTCTTATGTCAGCCTTCTCTCCTTTCTACATTTTCTCCCTTGGTGATCTCATCCTTTTCCACGGCTTCAATGATCACCTCTATATGAATGATTCCCAAATGCACATTTTACAGTATAACCCTCAGTTTTAGTGCCACATTTGCTACTGGTTGCTGAGTCTCTTTAACCAGATGTCACATTAAAGCCTCAAAATCAACATATTCAAAACTGAAATAATGCTTCTTTCCAAAACTATCTCTTCACCATTATTCTTTGTGGCTTCATCAGTCTTCCAAACACCCAGACTCAAAACCTTGCAATTATTTTTCACTCTTCCTTTTCTCATCCTCCACATTTGATCAGTTGCCAAATCACTTAGAGTCTACCTGTGCAGTATTTTTTGTATCTGCCTTTCTTTTTCAGTCATTGCCACCCTCCCCCCCCATACTCCTGTTGTGATTTCCTAATCGATTTTTCTGCTTGCAGTCTCTCCCCTCCTCAATCCATCCTTTACAAAGTTTCCAAAATTTTCTTCTTAATTCATGTCATTCCCCTCCAATGGTTCAATGCCTACCAAATAAAATACAAATTCTTTAGTTTGGCATAGATATCTGGCTACCATTCAAGCTTAATTTCATAGTAATACCATTTATGCACTCTCTTCTTCTACCAAACTGGATGATTTATTAAGTCTCAATATTGCTCTACCCTTTCTTGCCTCCAAGTATTTGTAGTCATCCTATGCCTAAATCCAGATAATTTTCTTCCCCCAATCCTTATCACTATATGCTGGCATTCTTCCCCACTTCAAGAGTCATCTTAGGTGCCAACTCCTCTATGACACCTTTTTTGATCTCTATATAATTGATGCCTCTGTCCTTGAATCTACCAGGTTACTCCATCTTTCCTAGGCAATCATTTTCTAACTTGTATTATAGTTACTTAGATAAAATTATAACTTGATGCCTCATTGATTATATGGATGAACCTAAGATTTTAAAGTCAATACCAACCCAAAGCTAATCAGAAAAAATTTCATGTATGAACCTGGTGACAGACTGCGTATACTGCACAAAGATTAGCCTGGCAAAGAATAGTTATGCTCATCTTGAGAGGGCTGGCTGGCAAGTGATGAATTGTTTCAGCCACTGCAACCCATGAAACAGACAAAAATGCAAGATGGTCTTCAGTTCTGTATGAACCTCTTTATTTGTGCAATGACAATGGTAAGATAGTTTTTTAAAGTGACAGATATTACTAAGTACCACAATTTTTAAATTATCTTTATTTTGATACTTCAATGGCTTTATTGTCTGATCAATGTGGGTGTTCTCTCCAAATAGCAGCCTTTAAAGGATTGGGGATCACACTGATATGAATACCACCTCCAGTGGTACATATGACAGCTCATATATACCTTTTCATTCTGTGTAACTTCCTTCAGGGGAGGGAAACCCATGGCCTCGGGGCCACATATGGCCCTCTAGGTCCTCTGGATTCAGTCAAATGGTCACACTTGAAGACCTACAAGGCCCACATGTGGCCTCAAGGCTGCAGGTTCCCCATCCCTGCCTTAGGTCCTTCCACAGATCCTTCATGTGTGTCCACCCAATGTTATGGTAATGTTCTACCAGATCTTCTCACATTTAGATGCCACTGGTACACATATCCATCACGTCCTTTCTTGACCACAGAGCTATCCGATGACAGCTAGAAGTCTCACAACAATGCTGATTAGATACACTGAGGCACCTAATTAGGTACATTAAAAATGCATGTTATACAACCTCAGCTGGATCCTCACTGCGGCAAGGCAGTCCTAAATGATTTCCTATCTCACTCCGCTAGAAACCAATCCAAATATTATCTTCCCTCTTCAATACTTCTATACCTACCCTTCTCTCCTCTCTCTTAGTTGAGGGCTTTGCCTGTTATTCTGTGGGGAAAATTGATGACCTGAGATTCCTTTTCTCTTCAGCTCAAAACGCCTTGACATCATCCCTTATTTTTTTTTCTTTTTTCCACTAGCCTCTGGCAAAGAAGTGGCCCTTCTGTCTGCCTAAGTCATCCCTTCTACATAGGTGCAGCACCTCCTCTCCTACTGATTTGCAATCCAGCAGTTTGCAACTTCAATCATACTTCTCTGGCTCTCTGACTCTGACTTTCTCTCTGTCTCTACTCTTATCTTCAACTCTCTGTATTTACTAGTTCCTTCCCTCCTGCTTTCAAACTTGCTAAAGTCTACTTCATCATTAAAAAAAAAACTTCACTTGACATTATCATCTTTTCAGGGCAGCTTCCCATATATCTCCACCCCTTTTTCTTGAAAAAGCTCTCTGCAATCATGGCCTCCCCTTCCTCTCACTAAATCCTCAAATCTTTGAAATGTAGCTTCAAGCCTCATAACTCAAGTGGGACTGCTATCTCCAAAGTCAGGAATCATCTCTTAATTGCCAGACCTACTGGTCTTTTCTTAGGCCTTATCCTTGTTAATCCATTTGCTATATTTGATATTGTTGACCTATTTCTCCTTCTGCACACTCTCCCCTCACTAGGGTTTTGTGACACTGCTCTCTCCTGGTTTGGGACAGCTAGGTGGCGCAGTGGATAGAGCTCCAGGCCTGGAGTCAGGAAGACTCATCTTTCTGAGTTCAAATGTGACCTTAGACAGTCAACTATCTGTGTGACTCTGAGCTGGAGAAGGAAATGGCAAACCACTTCAGTACCTTTGCCAAGAATACTCCAAACTGGGTCACAAAGAGGCGTGACTGAACAGCAGCAGCAACGTCTCCTGGTTCTTCTATCTGTCTGACTACTTCTTCTCTGTCTCCTTTGCTGCCTCAACACCTATATCCATATCATTTTAATTGTGAGTTTACACCAAGATTCTGTCCTTAGGCCCTCTTATTTTCTTTCTCTAAACAAAGAATTCTTAATTTGGGGAATATAAACTTGTTTTAAAAAAACATGTCGATAACTGTAGTTCATTTGATTTCCTTTGAAATACTTTAGTAATTGAATTCTTCATGGTTACACAGATTTATAACTTAGAAGTCATCAAGTCTTGAACACTGTAGGCTAGACTAGTGGTATCAGACTCAAATAGAAACAGATTCTCATGGGGCAGCCCGGGCAGAAAACCACAAACCACCATTACCTATGTTGTATTGCCTTATTATTTATGTTATTAAATATTTCTAAATTACATTTTAATCTGGTTCTGGCACCACTCATGAATGTTGTAGGTCATTTGTGGCCCGCTTTGCTTTGATGCCTCTGATCTAGACAATAAACAATCTTTATACTTTGCCACAGACAGCAATCCTGTCTATCTATGTAGTTGAGTGAAGCCTCTTTGCCTCTCCAGTGTGCGTGAGCCTCTTTCTGCTTCTACAGTGATGATGGCAAAGCATCAAAAAAGAAGGCAGAGAACTACAGGAATCGCGCAGTTTTTAGGCTATAAATATTCATTGAACTGTTTATACTTTTGACACACAGCCTTTGAGTTTTTTAAATGATTTTTTAAGCAAAACCAAAGGATAAATGAAACAAAGCTAATAAACTCTTCAACCTTCCTGAAAAACTAAGCAAAATAACATGAAAAAGTGGTTGTGAACAACTGTATATGTAATAACACCCTTTTGCTATCTAATTAATGATAAAAATGAAGACTTTGTATGATAACTTTAAAAATATTTTTATTCCTAACTTAGCATGGTTTTGCTGTTTGATATTTATCTTTTCATAGTTGAAGTCAAAATATATGTTATTCTTCTGGGTTCCACTCTTTTCATCCTATATAACTTCATATGTCTTCCCATTTTTTTTTTGGTATTTTTCATATTTGTCATGGTACAGTAACATTTCATTACATCCACATGCCATAATTTATTTAGCCATGTACCAATTGAAGGGTACATAGATGGTTTCCAGTTTGGGCCCATTACAGAATAAGACTGGTACATACTTTAAAAAAAAAACAAATGGGTCCCTTCCTTCTTGTTGTCAATAAACCCTTTAGGGTATAAACCTGAAAGTTGAATGCTAGATTAAAGGTATTATTGTTTTTGTAACTTATATTGCAAATACACTTTCCAAAATGACCAAATCAATTGAGTTTCATGAATAGTAAATTAGTATTGCCTTCAAAATTAAATTTTGTTATCGTCTTATCATTTTTGTTGGTAATAAGTTGGTACCTGAAGGTGGTTTGAATGTGCATTTCTCTGATTATTGGTTATTTTGAACACTTTTAAAGTATTGTTGATAGTTTATATTTTTTCTTTTGAGAACTGTTGCTCATATCCTGGGAGATGGCTTGTTGAAGCGAAGATTCTATGTGGGCTGCAATCAGAAGACTTGGATTTCAATCTCAGCTTTGTTACTTACTACCTGAAGACTCCGGGTAAGTGATTTCTCTCTGTGGGCTTAATCTGTAAAATGAGAGTCCAGCCCTCCAGGCTAGGGTCCACTTCAACAACAAGCCACAATCCCTGGGGTTCACTGGTTTGGGAGGCTGCCTCTGCCCCAGCCACAGGAACTTTTACTCCCCGGGACAGTGAGGGGAGTTGGGCGTCTGACCTGGAGCAGATCGAGGGAACCTCTTCTGACAAGGAATGACAGACCCAGCTGTGCTGTGGAGACAGATGGGGGTGAGAAGGAACCAGCACACGCCCAGTGAGTTCAGAAGCAGTGGGGTGGGGATGCCTCTGCTGTGGGCACTTACTGGAGGCTGAAGGTCTTGGTTTGAGTTCAAGGTCAGAAGGGTGAATTGAAGAGGATTAGAGTCACCATTCCCCATACTCCAGGACAGAGGTGATTATAAGAACTAAATTATTACCAAAAACAATGCACAGGCAAAGGAGAAAGAATCCAACCACAGAGATTTTTTTTTTTTGGCAATTGGGGTTAAGTGACTTGCCCAGGGTCACACAGCCAGTATGTATTGTGTGTCTGAGACCGGATTTGAACTTAAGTCCTCCTGACTTCAAGACCACTGCGCACCTAGCTGACCCTTACAGAGAGCTTTTATGGGAATAGAGAAGATCGGGATTTGTCTTCAGAGGAGGATACTGAAGTAAAGAAATCCTCTTCTACCCCCAAAAGTAATGTCAGATGGTCACCTGCCCAACAAGAACTCATTGAAGAACTTCAAAAATACTTTAAAAATCAAATGAGAGAGACTGAGGGAAAACTAAAAAGAAAAATGAGAGTAATACAAGAAGGGAACATCATAACTATCTTCAAATACTTGTAGGACTAGTATGTGGAAGGGGGATTAGATTTTAACTTCTTAGTGCTAGAGTATAAAAGCAGAAACAGGCAGATAGCAAGTGATGCAGCAGACTTCACTTTGATGCAAACAAGGCCATCCTAAGAATTAGAACACTCTGGGGCATGGGCAGCCTTAGAGATAATGAGATCATTGGAGGTCTAGGAGAGGCTGGATGGCTTCTTGGCAGGCGTGCTGCTGTGGGTGATTACTGCTGACCTAGGCTAAATTAGATGCCATTTCAGGCTCTTTACAACTCTGAGATGCTGTGATTGGGGTGAGGAGGGAGGGAGAGAGAAAGAAGCATCTCCAAGTCTGACATGATGGTAGGTAACAATGCTCTGATAATCAAGAACGCGCTGTCTCAGTTTCTTCTCTTTGAGGGTGCTATTAATCTCTTCTCCAGAAGTAATCAGAAACTTATCGTAAGACACAGGGGGAGAGAGAGAGAGAGAGAGAGAGAGAGAGAGAGAGAGAGAGAGAGAGAGAGAGAGAGAGAGAGAGATTCGTGTCCCTCCTGCCCTTATTCTTCCCTTGGTTAGAGACAAGAAGACAGGTTCTGATACTGACTCTTTCCTGGTACCAGTGATTTTACCTTCAAATATGGCAAAATTTTATAAAAGTTAATGCTGTCCAAAATAAAAATGGGCTGTGCCAGGAGGTAGTAGATCCTCCATCACTGATATCTTCAAGTAGAGGTTGAAGAGACACTTGTGAGGACACCATAGAGGATTCCTATTCAGGCTAGAAGTAGGAATTGTAGTGGAAAGAGTATTGGATTCAGAGTCAGAGGTCCCAAGTTCAAATTCTGGTGCTGCTGCATATCACCTGTGTGACCTTGGACAATTTTTCTGTACTAGATTTCTCATGAGGATATTAGATGGGATAATCTCTTAGGTCCTTTCCATTTCTAAGTTCTGTGAACCTGAAATTCCCTCCAGATCTGAAGTTCTATGATTCTGTAATTTTGTGATGGACATCGCTAGTGAAATAAATGCAAGAGAGTAGCTGTTCCCCTAGGTTAGTCTCTCTGGTAGCTCATGTTGGGTTAGCTATTAGGAAACGCTCAAATTCCTGGGTTAGGGAATGACCTGATCCAATGTCGATCCTCTGGGGCCCAAATATAACATCCAAATTGTTTGTTTCTGAATAATATGAATAGAAAAAGGAATGATAAGATGGGAAAAGATGACAACACAATCATTCTTAGAGGGAAGCTTTTGACACAATTGTATTTTGTGTAAAAACCTTTTGATAACATTCTGACAGAAATTTAGGGAGATTATGGTGGGAAAGGCTGTCTCTAAAACTACTTGGATGTCTTTAGAGGAATACAATGTACATTGTATTTCTGGAAGATTACATCTGTTCAGTACAGATAAATCATTTCTTGGGCAAAAGGTGTTTTCTTAACAGAGATTGAATGGCAACACTTGTCTGGGCTGGTGCGGGGAATGGGTATTCATGCTTCAGTGTGAAGTCAAAGGTCACCGATTTCCTCAGAGATCACCTAGTCCAACCTCCTCATTTTACAGAAGAGGAAACTGAGGCCAGATGGGTTAAGTGGCTTGCCCAAGGCTACACAAGTAGTATGGAACATATATGTAAGATTTAATGGAAGACTTGAACCCAGGTCATCAGAGCCAATGATGACTCTGAGGTTCTTTCCAATTCTAACATTCTATGATATTAGAATTCAGTGGCAAATAACCTGTAAGATTTTTTTTTTTAATTAAGAGTGGCTATCCCCAAAGCATACCATAACATTTTGGCAAAGGCAGAATCAAGAGTAGTCCTATTCAAGATTTCTATTTAATGTTGCACTAAAATAGTTAAATAAAAAATTAAGAAATGAACTGAAATCTTCAGGATGAACATTTTTTTTCCTGTACTAACAGACATATAGAAGCCAAAAGATAATGATAAACTTGGGGCTCATCATTTAAAAATGTTAACTATGTGTCATTTTGATCGAGGCCCACCTTTTCATAGATCTTTCTGAATTAATACTATCAGTTAACTTAATTATTTCTGATATTTATTATAAAACTACCTTGTTCTATATAGGTCTTCCTAATACATTTTGACATTATTAAGGCTCTGTAATCCATGAAGCAGTAGTAGTGGGGTCTGGTGGAAAGAAATCTAAACTGGGAATCAGGAGACCTGGGGTTTAGTCTTAGCTTTGCCACTAACTGACTGCAGAAACTTCAGCAAATGACTTTTCTTCTCTGGGCTCTAGTTTCCTTATTTGTAAAAGAAGGAAGTTAGACTGGATGATCTGTAGGGTTTCTTCCAACTCTATTGTGACAATAACAACCATTCTGAAGTAGGGAACAGGCATAATTATTCCCATTTTCAGAGGAGGAAACTGAGTTACTTTCCCATTATCATAAAGCTAAAAAGTTGCTGAGGCAAGGTCTGAAGCCAGGTCTTCTGATGTGAAGACCAGCACTTTATTATACTTTGCTGCCTTTTTGGTTCTCAGGACCAAGTTGCTAAGACCAGTAAACTACTGGGACTATTTTATTTTATTTTTCACAGCAAATAAGTCTGAAGAGAAGCTTTTTATTTAAGTCAATGGAAGGAGTGGAGCCAAGATAGTGAGGAAAAGGCAGGAAGTTGCCAAGCTCTTCCCAGTTTCCCTTGAAATAATTTTAAATCAAGTTTCAAAATGAATTCTGGATCAACAGGATCCACAAAAGGACGGGGTAAGACACCTTTCCAGCCCAAGATAACTTAGAAGGACTGCAGGGCAGGTCTGTCTCACTCAAGGGGAGTGCAGACAGGGCAGACAGTGTCTGGGCAAGCCAGCAGGGGCCCTTAGCCACAGTATGGATCAGCAACCAGGCTCAGCAGGCTAGTGGCACAGTGGACAAGCTGTGAGCCCTCCAGTTCCTGCTGTCTAGTGCACCAGGCTCAACCAGACTGGTGATCCCAGCACAACAAATGAACCACTGTGGCAAGCCAGTGATCAGTCCCTTGGCCCTGAGGCAAGAAACTTGGGACAATGCCCCCTATACTCCAGGAGCAGAGCTCAACTTTAGAAGTCATGAAATAGGTGGGAAAATAAGCAAAACAAACAAACAAACAAGGCCCTGACCATAGAAAGCTACTACGGTGACAGGAAAGATCAAAACACAAACTCAAGAGAGGACAACAATGTCAAAATCTTTAGATATGAAGCCTCAGAAGGAAATATGAATTGGTCTCGAGCCCAAAAAGTCCCCCTGGAAGAGCTCAAAAAAGACTATAAAAATCAAGTAAGAGAGGTGGAAGAAAAATTAGGAAAACAAATGAGAGTTAGGCAAGAGAATCATGAAAAAAGAGTCAACAGCTTGGAAAAGGAAGCACAAAAATTAACAGGAGAAAACAACTCTTTAAAAAGTAGAATTGGCCAGATGGAAAAGGAAGCACAAAAACTAAATGAAGAAAATAATTCCTTAAAAATTAAAATTTGGCAAGTGGAAGCTAATGACTCTATGAGACTTCGAGAATCAGTCAAACAAAATCAAAAGATTGATTTAAGTCAATTGTCCTATAAACTAGCAAAGATGAAGCTCTGGTAGCAATGTTGCAGCAATACCACATTTGCGGGCAGCTGTAGCGGACTTGACCATCAAATACTGTTTTCTCTGTTGTTCATCCTTGGTTTTTGAATAGGACCGATGACGTCATGAGTGATATCTTGACTTGCCCATGAATTGGATTTAAATGAGGCAGCCTTACTTTCTCCTCCAGAGTCCTTGGAGTCTAGTGACAATGTGAAAGTCACATTTTCCTTAACACTATGGAAGTAAATCCAGCTAACCAGAGGTGCCCACACTACACTATCTGTACATGGCAAAACTTTTGAGGCTGTGATGAGATCTACTGTTGATCTGTTGATGAGATCTACTGAGAGAATGGGGCTCATTTTCCCAGTCCCCTTCATTTAACTTGACTTCCCTGGGGTAGCCATATTGGAGGTCTCCAACATTCAAAAAGTCACCAATGAGAATCATTCTTTTGTATTTAAGGACACTATGACTCAATTGAACAAATTAATACTAGAATGCTTTTATAGTAGGGATTCTGAACTTGATGTCTGTGAACTAGTTTTAAAAAATATTTTGATAACTGCATTTCAACAGAATTGATTTCTTTTGTAATCTTAAGTATTTTATTTTATTCATTTAAAAACACCATTCTGAGAAGCTGTCAGTTGGGTTCACCAGAATGCCAAAAGGGTACATGATACAAAAAAAGGCTAAGAATTCCTGCTTATGGGAATGAAATGGCCTGAGTCACCTTGCTCAGGATGTCCTTCAAGATTGAAAAACTTTTGCTACCGATAATGACTACTATCTGTGTGTGTTCCTGAGGAACTATGTGTGATAAACAGCCCTTTCTCCACTTTCTCTCCTGATTATTCTTAAAAGTGTTGTTAAAGCCATTGCTTCTTTGGACTGTGGCTCTTAGCCTCTCTCTGGGCTAGAAACTTCTCATCAAAAAGGTCCGTGTTATTTTAGATGGTTGCATGATGTCACAGCCTGTTGCTTCCTTTGACTTTCTAAGAATCCCAACCAGTCAAAAATGTAACAGGGAGGGGGACAAGAAGGGACAGGGAAAGAAGGGGAAGGAAAAAGAAAGATTATTTTATTTATATTATATATTTATTTTATATTTATATTATATATTATTTATATATAATATATTATATTAATATATTGTATATTAGTATATTATATTATAATAAATAATATTAATATAATTATATATTATATAATATATTATATAATGTATTATATATTATATTTATTATTTACATATTATTTATGTTGATATAATTTGTCTAAATTTATTTTTTCTAGAAAGGGAACGTGGTATAATAGAGAAATGGCCTTGAACCGGGAAGACCTGGCTTTAAGTCCCTCCTTGGACATATATTGACTGAGTCACCCTAGACAAGTCACTTAATCTCTTAATGCTCTGGTCTACACAACTCTCAGACTCTAACTTTAGTGACAATGCTGACCTGCATTGCCAAGGGAAGTTTCCTTATCCAAGAATCCCATATCAAAGAAATCACAGGTCTAGTCTCTGTCCTTATTTTCTGTCAAGTACTTGGCCTCCTCAAAACCTTCTAGAGAATTAAATTTTTAAGTTTTTTTTTCTTTATTGCTGAGTCAGGAACCATATATTCCCCAGATATCTATTAATTCAATTCAATAAATATTTATTAAACACCTACTATGTGCTAGGCACTGTGCTAAACACACATTATTAAATGCCTAGTAGGTGCAAGGTGCCATCCCACAGATACAAAGATGATAAAAACAGTTCCTGCCTTTAAGGTGCCATCCCATAGATACAAAGATGACAAAAAACAATTCCTGCCTTTAAAGAGATTCCATTCATCAGTAGTCTGACTGGCATAATTTCCAATATTCTAACTTTTCCCCCTGGGTTAGTGCAGACAGGGGCTTTCCCGGGAGGAAAAGAGAGGGTCCAGGAGAATTCCTTAACAGCTTACAATTTATAACTATCAAAATGCTATTCTCCTTCATTTCCCTGACCTTAAGTACTCCATATGAATGTGTTTCTTTCCTTTGGCTTCCTTTGGACTAAGTTGCTTTTCAACAATGGCTGATAAGGCCTGTTAACTGTTTGCTCTGAAACAGAAATTTCTCTCCATCTAAGAGCAGAAGGCTGGAGCAACTAGGAAACCTAAGTTAATCAAGTGCTGACCTTCAATAATCACTCCCTTGGGGGCAGCTAGGTGCACAGTGGATAGAGCACCAGCCCTGAAGTCAGAAGGACCTGAGTTCAAATCTGTCCTCAGAAACATAATTGTCACACTAGCTGTGTGACTCTGGGCAAGTCACTTAACCCCAATTGCCTAACCAAAAAAAATAGATAATCACTCCCTTGGTGTGTAGTTCTTCTGTCCATGTAACACGTTGGGCCCTATCTTCAATCTTCCTCTTATAGAGCTTACCAGATATAGTCAAGTACTTTGAATTCTGGGGCAATTATAAAAGAAACGCTGCATGAATACAAAGTACAAAGTACTACATAAATATCCTAAATACAAAGGCATATTAAGAAGACTATGCCATATTTTAGTATTCAGTCTTGGTGAAACTTGTACTTTTTAGAACAAATATTCTGTTTAAATAGCATGCATGACAGAATTCTCAATGAGTGAATATTAAGTTTGTGGGCATACACCTGAACAATGGAACCTTTTCATAATGGGAATTCGCACAACTTGTGTGACTGAAGAAAGTGAATTTTTATGTGATGGTTATGTGCTTAACAAAACATTCATTTGCACAAATTAACCTTTCAAACCAGAATACCCCTTCATGCAAGACTTCATCAGCTTAGGAAAAAACTCCAGGGAACAATTTAATGTTTTCAGTGGCAAATAGCTCTCATTTATTTATAGGACCTAAAGTCATTTCCCTCATACATCTCTAGACTCTGGGATTTCATCTATATGACTGACTCAGTTCCCCAATATTTTCCACAAAAAGTTCAATAAAGAACTTCTACAACGAGAATCCCTCAAATCATTAGATTGCATGGCTTGATTGGACTGCGAGGCTGTGATGTACAAAGGAAAGCATGCCCAATTTGGAATCAATGAACATGGGTTCAAATCTTAGGCCAGATCCTTAATAACTGTTGAGACTTTGGGTAAGTTACCTCCCCTCTAAGGCCATCAGTTTCCTCATCTGTAATATGAGGGCTGAAACTAGAAGACCTCTTTTTTTAGCTCTAAATATTACTATCTAGTAATAGGTGAATTTTCCTAACCCACAAATTCCCAGGATCTTATCCTTCAACAAAAAATTCTGTCTGAAGCCCATCTAATAATTGGATGAAAAATGAACAAGACAAGCAATTCTCTGTATGTTTCCATTTATTTAGATGTTTGAAATTCTATATCTGGGCAAGTGTATGAATTTTCATTTTCCAACAAGATCTTATGGTTTAATGTAGACACAACCTATTTTGTATATGTTTTGATTTTTCCATATTGAGGTAGAAGAACCTATTGACAATGAACTTCTTGTTCTAGGTGCCTAGATATATACTTAGTAATAATAGCTAGCATTTATAAAGTACTTTAAGAGTTACAGAGTACATTGTAGGCATTATCTCATTTGATCCTCAAAACAACCCTTGAAGTACGTGCTATTATTATTCTCATTTTACAGGTGGATAAACTAAGGCTCAGAGAGTTTGTGATTTGCCCAGGAACACACAGCTAGTTAGAATCTGAATTAGGTTTTGAACCCAGCTCTTACTGGCCCCTCCTCCACTACTTTGCCCAATATACCCCACTGCTTCTAGAATAGCTTTCATGTCAGTAGGAGCTGTGTAGGGAGAAAGATGAAGGTTAGTGGGAAGAAGGAAAAGAAGGGAGGGGAAGAGAAGAGAATAGGCATTTATATGGTACCTACTATATGCCAGGCACTATGCTAAGTGCTTGTTACAAATACTATGTCATTTATCCTAACAATAGTCCTGAAGTGCCATTATCATCCCCATTTTACAGTTGAGGAAACTGAGGCAGAGGTTAGGTGACTTGCCCAGGGTCATACAGCTAGTAAGTGTTTGAGGCTGTATGTGAACTCAGGTCTTCCTGACTCCAGGCCTAGCACTGCCAAGAAAGAAGCATAATCTGACAGGTGAGCAATTGTTTTTGAAGATAGGTTATATATTACCTGGTTTATATATATGGTGTGTACATATGTATGTATGTATATATGTATGTATGTGCATCTGATGAAGTCCACAGGAGGAAAATGGAACATGGGACACAATAAATTTCTTGGTGGAAGAATTGGACACTAAAGGAATCATTACTCAAAGTTGGCACCTGAGTGATTCAAGTTTCTTAGTTTGTGGGCTCTGGCACAATTATACCATGTTATTTCCCAAGGTGACAGAATATGTCCCTTGCCTGTTTCTTGTTAATCAGTGCTTGGGTTCCCTAGAGGAGACAAAGCTCCTGGCTGCTTCCAGCTGCCTAAGCACAAATCAGGTGTTTGGGGGATGACAAAGAAATCTCCCATTGGCTACTGAGCAGGAAGAACCAGTGACTCAGCGCACTTTTTTTTTTAAGGCATTGGGTGTTAAGTAACTTGCCCAGGGTCACATAACTAGTAAGTGTCAAGTGTTTGGTCTGAGGCCAGATTTGAACTCAGGTCCTCCTGACTTCAGGGTTAGTGCTCTATCCACTGGGCCACCTAGCTGACCCCTCAGTGTGCTTTTAAAAGGAAGTGTTCCACCCTCTATAGTTTCTTCTCTTCTTTTCCTGCATATCAGGACTATCCCAGCCCTTGTGAAGAGTGGAGGGAGGGGCAGTGTACTTTTCTCCATACCCTGGCAGGATGGTGCATGTGGGCCCCATGGGGTAAAGCTGGGGCTCAGCTAGATAGGCCAGAGCCGAGGTCTGTGGTGCCTTTCTTCTTTGTGTTTATTTGCCTCTTCTCAGGTGAACAAACAGCAATCTTGGGGTGGAAGTACTACTAATCTTCAGAGGGAACTTCACAAGTCCAAAAGGTGAGGAGATCCAAGGCCCCTTGGTTAGAGCTGATTGGTGGCAGAGGCTTCTGCTTTGGAGAACATAACCACTAATACAAAGATGATCTCAGGCCCTAGCCTAGTTTGCTAGAAGACATGGATCTTGAGGTGAGATAATGTAGCACAAAGCGAAATGTGAAAAGGCTCTTCTGCAGTCCCACAAACTACTTCATGTTTTGATGTTTAAGTCTCATAAAACTACTGGTTGCACAAGTCATGTCAATGCATGCTTGTGAGTCTCTTTGTTTAGCATTTCTTTTGTGCCCAAGAAATACATGGCTGTCCCACATTTGATTCATATCATACACGGAGTACTTTTTATTTTCTCATTTTTGTGGAGACCCTGCATATGAACCATACCTAAACTTTTAAGTAATTTTTCCCTGGGGTTCCGGGGTGGAAAGCTTAACACATATGAGAAAAAAAGCCTGACCCTTTTAAAATGCAGTTAGGCTCCTTCAGGAGCCTAGTCACAAGTGTGGGTGAGTATGGAGAAGGGGGACCTCTTATTGGAGAGAGGAAAGGCATAGCACTCAACCTCTTTATCACAACAGTGGTTATTATTGTTAGAAATGTAGATATAGCAATAAAATATCTGTGTGCATTTTTTGTTTGGGCAGGTAGATGGTGCAGTGGATAACATTCCAGGTCTTGAGTCAGAAAAACTCATCTTCCTGAGTTCAAATCTGACCTCAGACACTTACTAGCTGTGTGACCCTGGGCAAGTCACTTCACCCTCTTTGCCTCAGGTCCTCATCTATAAAATGAGCTGGAGAAGGAAATGGCAAACCACTTTAGTGTCTTTGCCAAGAAAAACCCAAATGGAGTCACAAAGAGTCAGATATGACAGAAATGACTGAACAACAAAGGCTCCTCTAGGACTGAACCCAGTCACAGTGGGAGTGGGTATGGAGAAGAGAGACCCTTTAGTGGAGAGGAGAAGGCAAAGTGCTCAACCTCTTCATCACAACTGCAGTTATTGCTAGAAACATAGATATATAAATAAAATATTTGTGCATAATTTTTGTTATTTTATTAGTCATTGTTGAAAAGGTATACATAAAAAAGAAACAGCATATATGTATGTATGTATACACATACATATATAAATATGCACATAAATGTTTATTGGATTGGATTGGGTTTTTATTACTCATTATTTTACACACACACACACACACACACACACACACATTTTAAACACCAGGTCTTTCATCTGTCACATAGTAAGGATTCATTTTTTGGTAGTAGGTGCCAACATTCTGAAGAAGTGTACCTCTTGAATGGAATCATAATGACAACTTTGAGTTGGAAAGGGCCTTGAGGCCGCCTAAATCCAAACTATATCTGAACCAGAAGCTCTTCTATAACAAAATCCAAATGGTCATCCAGCCTCTTCCTGAAAACCTTGAAAGAGAAACCTCTCACTGGAGGCAGCTCATTCAGCTCTTGGACGGCTTCAATCAAACTGAAATCTGCCCCTCTGCAGCTTCCACCCAGTGTTCCTGATTATACCCTATGGGACCAAACAGAATAAATCCAATTTGTTTTCCACATGTTGTTGTTTAGTCACATCTGATTCTTCATGACCCTTTTTGGGGTTTTCTTGGCAAAGATACTGGAGTGGTTTTCTATTTCCTCCTTCAGCTCATTTTATAGATGAGGCAACTGTGGCAAAGAGGGTGAAGTGACTTGCCCAGATTAACACAGCTAGTAAGTCTCTGAGACTGGATTTGAATTCATGTCCTTGGGACTCCAGGGCTGGCACTCTATTCATTGCATCACCTAGTGGCCCATCTTCCACATGACAGCCCTTCAAATACTTGAATATCACTTTCACATCCCTGTTAAATCTTCTCTCCAGGACAAACACTCCCATTCTTTCAACCAATCCTCATAATGTAACTTCTTTAGTCTTTTTTTCCCACCATCTTTGGGTACAATTCAGCTTGTCTTTATCTTTCTTAAAGTTGCTGACCCGAACTGAACCCAGTACTTCAGGAGTGGCCTGACCAAGACAAAGAATAGCAGAACCATACCTCCTAATTCTGGATAATATGCCTCTCCCAATGCAACCTAGAGTCTTATTTGATTTTTTTGGCCATGTCACAATGTTAACTCATATTGAGCTCATAGTCCACTCAAGCACAGAGATCTTTTATTTATGGAATTAATTGTCCTACTTCATTACATGCTTCTCACATCCTGTAATGGTGAAATCAATTTCTTGTATCCAAGTATAGACCTCTAATTCTACTAAGTTTCATCTTAACCCACAAGCATCCTACTTACCTTGTCAAGCAGAGAAAGATGGTTGCCAAAGACAACACCATGTTAGAATAATAACTCATTTGCAAAATCTTATGAAGAAGCACGATGGACAATTAGGAATAAAATTGTTTCATAAAGTAGAGAGAAGTAGTGGAGGGTAAGATTACTTATCTCAAAGACTTTGAAGGATGAAAATGGAAGAGACCCTATAAACACAAGGAAAATGGGAAAGGTTCACAAAAATAATTTTAATAGATCGTTTCTCCACCAAATACAATGAAATCACCCTCGTTGGACTTTAATGTCACTGTCTCAGATAAAACGGTATGAAAATAATAAAGATGGGAGAAGCAGCAACATTTGATCAAGTGTATGTGCTAGAAAATATGCAATTGTAGGAGTTTTAAGGGAATGATATCCAAATTTTCCACACAACCAAATTATAGTGGTTATTGCTCATGGTGGCTACCACTGCTCAAAGCATTCTCCTTCTTTTCACAAGGAGCTCACCATCTGCTTTACCATTTTCCTTTCCTCCTCAGGCTCTGTCCTTATACTAGGAGAATTCAACATCCATACTGATGTTTTCTTTAATTTCCTAACTTCCTAATTCTTTAACCTCCTTAAATCTCATTTCCCACTTCTTCATTCCACCTTAGCCACACAAAGAGATGGTTACAGATTTGATTTCATCATTACCTACAGAAACTCTGACATTTCCTCTATTGACAGTAACCTATCATTACAACTCTCCCTGTGCTTCAAACCTCAGCAACCTATTCTTCACTGGCATATTAACCTCCTCATTCTATGGGACATTCAAGGACCATTAATCCTTCTTTGACATAACTTTCCTCCATTTCCAATATTGACACTATGTTAGCCATTCCCACTCTATGCTGTTCTCAGCTCTCAAACCCCATCACCCTCTCACAGCCTGTCTCTCATGATGACCAAATCTCAGTCCTAGCTAACTCTCACCATTTGCTTCCTTGACTCCTTCTTACCTTGCTGCCAAATGGAGTCTCCTTACTATTTTAACTGGGTGAACTACAAATTCATGTAATCCAACTTCAACTGGACCCTCACTGAAGAAAAGAAGTCTTCTTATGTCTATCTAACTGATTTCCTAACTCACTCCACAGAGAAACTATTCAAAACTTCTCCTTCCTCAAGTCTTCTGTACTTCCCTTTTCCCCATCACTTAGTCAAAGACCTTCTCTTTTAGCCTGTGGAGAAAATTGAGGCCATTTAACATAAGCATCCTCTTCTTTTCTCTTTATCTCAAAATCCCTTATCACCATCTCTCACTCTTTTCTCCTTTTACCCAGCCATTGACAAAGAGATGGCCCTTCTCCTTGCCAAGGCAAATCCGTTTACATTTGCTCTAGATACCGTCCTCTCCATCCCAGCTTCCCCATTGTATTGAAAACTCAGTCTCTCTTCTTCTTTTTCTTCTCCTCCTTCTCCTCCTCCTCCTCTTCCTTTCTCTCCCCCACTCCCCCCCTCTATATCCTGATCAGTTCTCTTGGATTTAACTATCATCTTTCTGAAGATGACTCCAAGATCTATATATTGAGCCCCAATAACACCAATCTCCTAAAAGACATTATAAAGTGGATGTCCCATATACATCTCAACCTCCATATGTCCAAAAATGGATTCATTATTTCTCCCTCCAAATTCTTTCCACTTCTAAACATTTACTATTTTTCTTAATGGCACCACCAACCTTCAAAACTCTCAAGTGTATACCCTTACCATTTTCCTTGACCCTTCATTCTCTCTCACTCTGCATAGCAAATCATTTGCTAAACTTGACATTTCTATTACCAAAACATAACTCATATCTGGTCCCTTCTCACCATTCAAACAGCTATCACTTCAGGTCAGGTCCTCATCACCTCTTGCTTAGATTATTGCGATAGTTTCTCACCAATTCAATCCCTTACACTGTTCCCAAAGTTGCTTTCTTTTAGTGCAGATCTGACCATATAGTTTCTCTATTTAATCAATTCTAATGGTTCCCTATTGCCCATAGGATCAAATATAAACTCCTCTGCTTAGCTTTTAAAGCCTTTCACAACCTACACCAAAACCATCCTTCCAACCTTGTTGGGGAGGCTATACTCTGTGATCCAGAAAAACTGGACATCTCTTTGTGTTCTTCACACACACATCCCTTCATCTCCCATCACTGTACCTTTGAGCCATCCATTCCTACCTGGAGTATACACTCTTTTCATGTCCATCTTACAGGCTCCCTTTCTTTCTTTAATATGTAGGCCAAGTAACTATCTTTTGCATGCATTACCTTCCAACCATTAGTACATTGCCCACCTACCATGTTTTAACTATTTTGTGTTTATCTTTATTCTCTTATATTTACTCTGAATACACCAATATACTTATATCTACTTGTCTTCCCCATTAGTGTGTAACTTCCTTATGAAAAGGAATCATTTCATTCATTGTATTTGCATCCACAGCACTTAGGATAACGTCTAGCACATTGTAGGTGTTTAATTAATGTTTGTTGTTGATTGAGGGGAAGGTACTGAGAGTGTGGAAAAATTTGGAACTTATTAATATTGAATAAAGGTGAAATAAAGACTATCGTAACTAGTGACCTATATGGCTACTCTCCCACCTATACAAAATCTTTAGAAGAGTCATCTATGTATGAATCAAGGGCATCTTCAATGAAGGCATTAGTAGCAGACAAGCAGATTTTTGATAACAATATTCAGCTATGAATCACATCTTTACCATTTAACAATTATGTGGAAAATTTAGAGTATGTAAGATCACATTCTACTTATTGTTTGTTGGTTATAAAAAGCATTCAACTCCATAGAAAAGAATTCTGCCTTAAAGGCTCTTTTATTACAAAGTGTTTCCCATCTATACATCATAGTGATTTAAGATTTCTTTGAAGAAATGACAACAAAAATAATCATGTTCAATGATCCTGTAATAATGAACTTCAGGCAGCTAGGTAGCGCAGTGGATAGAGTGCCAGGCCTGGAGTTGGGAAGACTCATCTTCCTGAGTTCAAATCTGGCCTCAGACATTTACTAGCTATATAACCCTGGGCAAGTCACTTAACCCTGTTGGCCTCAGTTTCCTCATCTGTAAAATGACCTGGAAAAGGAAATAGCGAGCCACTCCAGTATCTCTGCCAAGAAAACCCCATATGGAGTCATGAAGAGTCAGATGTGACTGAAAAACAGTTGAATGACAACAATAAAACAACAAAAGCATAAAGTAGGGCAAAATATATTTATCAAAAGTATGTGCTACTGGGATGGAGGAGATCCTTCATAGCATCCAGATATAAAAGAGATTCCCTGGACAACAAGGTCCTCCAGATATTCCCGTTTATAGATGACATTGTATTGATTGCATTAAATCCAGCAGCACTGTAGAGCTTCCTGGAAGAGCTCTATAATTACTTGAAGGAATCTGGCCCAGCTAAACACTGAGGAAAGACCAAGCAGATGAAGAATGTCTGTTGCCCAGATTTCAATATACATTTGCTTGGACACTTTATAGAACTTGTCCATCAGCTCATATATCTGGTACAGACCATACAGCTGGAGAAGTTGCATCCAGAGTTAAATAGTAGGAAGAGATCAGGCTGGATTGCTTTCAAGAAACTGCAAAGCTTTTTTACTGCCCCCCAGCTTCCCATGAAAGCAAAGGCTCATTGTCTTAATTTTTGCTGTTGTTTCCAATTGTGTCCAACACTTCATGACCCCTTTTGGGATTTCTTGGCAAAAATACTGGAGTGGTTTACCTTTTTCTTCTCCAGCTTATTTTACATATGAGGAAACTGAGGCAAACTGGGTTAAGTGACTTGCCTAGGGTCACACAGCTAGTCAGCGTCTGAGTCTGGATTTGAACTCAGGTCTTCCTGATGCCAGCCTATGCTGTCTATCCACTACATCACCTAGAAGCCCTAGCATTGTCTTAATGCTAACATTCAACCATTATTGCTATGTGATAAGACATGGAAGATAATTGCCCCTGAAGACTTAAAAATGATATCACACAGAAAGCAATGGAGAGATGCATGGTGAATATGAGCATGCTACAACATATAACCAATGAGGAACTCTAACAAAGAAGAGGTGTAAAAAATTGTCTTCATGCAATTGTACGGTAAGAGAAATATGTTGGTCACATGGCAAGGGAAAAGCACGATAGCTGGACAGCCACAGTGTTTGATTGTCTCAGGAAGAAGCAAGGAAGTCTTCT